GATTCAAGCTAAAATATATGGTGAGTACAAATTAAGTTCTTGAAAAGTATGCATGGTCTCCTGCAAAAACTCACATGCCACTGGCCTTTTTCTTGAAGGTGAGTGGTACCAGCTTCTTCTTTCCTCTGGAGGAAATCGGGGGTCTCCCTTCTGCCCTCAACCAGCTGGCCCTCTGGGTGCTGCTTCTAAACCTCTTAGAAATAGGAAGGGCATGTGGAATTGCTGGGGTCAGTTTTGAAGTCAGTTTCTATTTAACCTCTAGGATTTCATATATGCTGGCTAGCACTGTGAACCCAGACTGAGTAATTATATGCTTGTTTCTGATACAAATTATTTTTTATTTGTACATTATTATTATTTTTTTAAAGTTATACTAAATCAGTGTAGAGCACCAAGTTCTAGGCATACACTTTTTACAGTTATAAAACCACTTAGTTAAATTACAGTTCTCACTGTAAAAGGGGATTTGGGTCCACTCTTTCCCAGTTAAACCAGTGTATGAGGTGGTTCAGGTGCTTCATCCTTGAGGTCCAGAAGAGCATGTGCTAGAGGGTACCAGATGGGAGAGCTGGGAACTAGGCCGTATGCTTTTTCCCCATGGAGACAGAGTTGATTGGTATTTGTTTTGTGATTTTTTTTTATTTCCCTGCGGTGAATTTCAGTACAGAATACTCTCTGCATGAGAAAACGGGCTGCCCGTGCACCCTACTCCTCCGCCCAGCCCGCTCTCCTCGTCCCCTGCCCCGTGCACCTCTAGCAGCAATTCTGTCGTGGCAAAGACTTTGCTGTGATTGGGGAATTCTTCACCAACGAAGTTTCTTGATGCTTCCCGAAAGCATTCATGGGCGCTTACTTCCTGCCGGAGCTCTGCGCTGACTGTGAATGGAAAGTAGCAAATACAAAAAAAAAAACCAAAAACAAAAAACCAAAAAAAACCAAAAAAAAAACCCCAACAAAAAAAACCCCCCCCCCCCAAAACAAAAACCCCAAGAAAAAAACCAAACCCTACCAAAGAAGAAGAAGAATTAAAAAAGCAACAAAAAAGCAGAGAAGAATTCGTGGTTTTCTGGAGGGGAAAAAAGTTTAAAAATTCCCATTTCGGGGGGGG